ATTCCTCATCACGGCACCAAATATGGCTTTCCCGCTTCCCGCCCCGAAACCCGACGTATCGAACGTTGAAAAAATCATGGGAGATGATATTGAGGATGTCCAGTACAATGAAGATGGCGCATCGTTGCAACCACGTGATTTGCGACTTGGACCAATGGCGCCGGGCGAATACTATGGAGACGATATTTGTTACGCATACCCTTAGGATCAATTTAGTCGTGAAACCACGTTTTTTCTCCGTTGGTATTGTCCCCGCAGATTAAGGAGGCCACTGGGATGACGAACGTGACAGACATGGTCAACAACTTCCTGCAGGCTGAAGAGAAAAACTTCAGCCTCTTCAACTTTGTCAATGAACTCAACAGGTGAGTCCTGCATACGGGCACACCCGGACGAGAATGCTACGTCGTGATGATAGGTTATGATGGTTTTGCACTTCCTCTCCATTGAATCGCCAAAGACAAAACATGTCGAATGTCGACGTGCTCGTCTCGCCCGCTAGGAAAGTGCACGTGCGCTAAACAACTTGCAGATTGGAACTGTTTCTTGAAAACCTTAAATTATCAGACCGACCCGAGAAAAACAAGTTATAACTTCCGTTTCCCCTGGGCCAGCGTCTTGCCTCGGCTTTACAGTTGGTAGGCAGTGCATAACCCGGAATGGAACACTATCCATCAAACTCCAGCCACCACAGAGATCCCAGATATGCGCGTCAGCACAAAACCATGTGGACCCCTGATTCCTGATCCTCATCATATGTCTGTCACCACCTCATCAAAGCGAGATCGAGCGACTGGAGCTCATGATCGCCGAAACAAAGAACAGCATCGAGAAGTTCAAGGGGCAAGGAGTTAGCACAGACACGCAGAGGAGGAAAGTTCTCAGGGGTTTGGAGGAGCAGCTCTCTGTGACAGAGGTCAGTCTGGCACCATTGGACTCCCACTGTACGCCATGTCCCCTACCCTGCCTTTGGTTCTTCCAGCCAACATCTGGCCCTCGCCTTGCAAGGGCGGGAAAAGCAGCTCTGTAGGAGTATTTCTGCTTTTAGGTTTTCTGCACTCTGTCCAATTTCGGAAGACGAAATACGTTTTTCTCTCCGGATTTGATCCAAAACTCCCTGCGGTGTTAGGGTAGTTGTTGCTTTCCCAGCAGACTCAATTTGGCGACCAGAGAAATACTTGGCGTTCCAACCCATCGGCGAAAGTTGTACATCCCCTCAAGGTCAAGAATTCCTGTCGATCTTCACCGTGGGTGTGAAAATATTCGCCATACACCGGAGCCCTCTACGTCCTTCAACCTGATGTTTTTGGTACGTGTATGCGCGTTGTCATCAACGTCGAACGCAGCGCCCACTGATTGGAAATCAGTGTGAAGCAGAGACGTATCACAGAATTGCGTAGTAGTAGCAGTGGAGCCCACAACCGTGTGCTTGGGTCTTGCCTCTACCCGTGCTCGAAAATGCCTATGATAGCGCTTGTTCCTCGTTTCGCTTACGTGGTGGAGCTTCGAACTGCTTTTCGGTTACACGCAGGGCAAGGCGGATGACTACGAGCGGCGGTATCAAACGGCAATGAAGACAATCAATCAGCTCAAGACCGGTATCCACGGCATCTTCAGCAGAATCGGGTGGGACAAAGTGATTTGAGAATCATTCTCTTCATGTCGCGACATGCCGCATGCAAAGCTTCAACAACGGTCACATCTCTCTTCCTACGAACCACAAAAAAGTGCGCTTGCTGAGCATGTGTACGTCATAAGCGCCACGGAGGTGTTAAGGCTTGGAGAAAGTGTTGGCGTAGTGCCCATCGACACTGCATCACTTGGCTGCCACACCAACGTTACAGAGAAAAAACCCGTTTCAGCCCGACGACGTTCGACCCGTTTCAGCCCGATGGCGTTCGACCGAATCTGACTCTGGTATCGACGCCCTGACGCTCTTAACCAAACCAGCGCGGGTAGCAACTCATCGGTGGAGGAGATGCTTGGCAACCAGGGCGTGACGGAATCGAACATGATGCAATACCTGGGGATCATTGAGCAGAGGACCAGCGAGATACTGCAAGCGTACGCCGCGTCGCAGCAGATGACACAGGCGGCGGAAACCCAGGTAATTCAACGAAACGTTACCGTACACTTGGATTACCGCCCTTGATAGTCTACAACCGGGGTTTGACTGTTCTGCACCGACCTTGTTTGTAGAATTTCTCAGCGGTCGACATGGGCGGAACAAAAAGAGGCACACACGTAGCCAAGCTGCGAAAACGTTCACCCGAAACCCGAAGGACAAACGCATGTGTGGTAGCAGTTGTGTTTATTTGTATCTTGCCGTCAGGCATGTTTTGCCCATGAGAAGTAGGTACTAAGCACGACCCGGTAGAACTACTGCTACAGGAGAGAATCGAGTCGCATACAATGCACACGATAGACTTATTGCAAGGCTACAGGAATTGGTTTGATGGAACACGTAGGCAGACGTCCTCTGGCCAGCGGGTTGAAAAGACGTCGCACAGCGGCCACTGGAAATTCTCGACAGCAGTAACGAGAAGTACACACGCAACATTCAGTTAGAGCTGGCCGATAGGACCTGCTGGCCCTCACCCCATACAGCAGAACCCGAACAGGTCGGTGAAAAGCGTGTTACAGGGACGAACGGGGTACCTTTGAGAGAGACATGGGAAAAACGATAGATGTGACATTGTCGTATAAGCTTCCGGTGCATTTGCCAACAATCAGTGAGGTGAGAACACGATCGCAAAAGGAGATATGCTGTGGTCGCTTCACCCTGGAAAAGAGGGGACAGGATGAGCAACACACACGGTGGATTTTTTTTTTCCCTTGAGAGTACCTGAGCAGTGGAGGTCTGCGTTTCTCTGCAGTAGTGGTAGACCTTACCCGTCCTGACAGGGATGGATAGCCAATGGTCAAGCCTTTTGGGCATGCAATAACTGCGACCCCCCACCTTCCCCTCTTGCACCTCCCGTCGTCCAACTTCTACCCCGTTGCCCTTCAGGGGTTCACCCCTTCCCTGGAGGAAGGAGCAGTGGGGGGGGCAGGAGCAGTGGATGCCACGGTGCCGCTCCGTCTCAATGTGCAACCACCCGCCTGGGACGACTTCAGCTCTGGAGAAGACTCCGACCAAGAGGACGACGAGAGGCCTCTGACCCGCGAGGAGCTCAAGCGCAAAACCCTCAGAGGGGGGGGCGCCGCCAACGGGGGCGGCGGGGGCGGGGGGGGGGGGGCGTCCGGGGACATGGCCGCGGCGAGGGGGGGCGGGGGGGGGGGAGCGGGGGCAGCAGGAAACAAACCGAAAGACGGCAAGGTGAGAGAGTGGTAGTCGAAGGCAGCATTTCGATCCGTTGAGAAGAACACAGCAACAGCATCATAGACTCTCCATCACAAACAGCGCGTGAGACTACGAGCGGGCGCACGAAGACGTTTCCACTGGCTATGCGTAGTAGCACAAACTTTGCCTGTTTTCAGGAGGATGCACACAAAACATTTTTCCAACCGATGTGGCAGAATCCCTCTACTCTCCTCACTACCTTGTGCTATGTTAGTGTGCACTGCCGCCCTCAGCGGTCTGTGGTGTTGAGACTGGGTACGATGTTATCCCAGGGACAGCAGATGAAAAAGGGCCATGTTCTATACATATCCGTCACGCAAGCCCCTCAGGCAAGCTGATCACCAACACGCAAGCCCCTCAGGCAAGTGCAGGGAGCACACCGCCGTGTGCTCACCCGGAGGCCCCGCCCTTGGACCTCAACCGCATACATACCCATCACACGCATAGTTCCCATACGCGTATCCCCCACAGAGGATGCACAGATCGGACTCATATCCAAGTACCACAAACAGCCCCCCTACTTGATACGATGAACGATCTTGCAACCCTTCACGCGTAGTCAGCCAACACAGAAAAACACCTCTTGGGAAAACTTATTCCACAAAACTGGCGACGCATTCAACACAAAGCGTTTCCATCAATCTATTCACGAATCCCACGCGTTCGTCTCTGGAAATAATCTCAAACCGTTGGCACAAACGAATCACCTTCAGAAGGGTAACCAACAAAATTATTTGTGCTACAAAAGCGTCAGAACGAAAACGGGCACTTCTGAAAAACAACTTCAAAAGAGTGGGCACCAAATCCTCAAACAAAGCAAAACAAAACTCAACTTCTTGACCAATCAAAACGAGAATTCGGAAAGCACAACGGTCCCAACCATTAATCGTAAAAACATGTAAAATCCTTCCTCCAATATAGTGTCCAAGGAGCAAATCCTAAACAGCGCGCACTCGCTAATCGGTACCGTCGCTTTTCTCCAAGAAACGACAGAAAACATAGGCAAGCATCCACGTAAACAACCCCCTCCTCTTAGCTCCCAAAATTAGCCCCGAGCTAATATCTCGATGCCAACAGCCCCCTTGCTTTGCCATTCACCTTACACACAAGCAGGCGCGACCAGACAACAAACCAATTCGATTGCTGCTCATGCCCTCTAGAATTATGGTCCCCTCCCATGATTTTTCGATGCAAGAGCAGCAAAACATGAGATACAAACCAGAAACATAAAAACACGTAACACACAAGGCATCAAACTCCAGAAAAAGTTCGTACCGTTTGCAAACTGTCTCCTCAACTGGAACTCCAAAAGCCCCCCTGCTCCCTGATCGGTTTGCCTTCATGCATGTCAAACAACGCGCTATCATCCCATTTCGTGCGCGCGGCCAGAAACACACCGCAGAGAGCGACCACTTAACTCAGGACCTCACATAAAATCCAAAGTATTGCAACATTCTTAGTACAAAGTGTCCAGTTCGTGGAAAAAAAAAAAAACTCGACTGAACGTTCTCCCTCCAAAGAGTACGGAAATAGTATGAAGCATTCAGCGGCAAGGCTAAACGCGACTGAAAATATACCAAGAAACAAGGAAAAAACATACCCACGTGCTGCTTCCTATTCCACAGATTGTGGCAATGATTATCTTGTCGCAGCGTACAATTACTATCATGAAACCAAGTACAAAAGGAAAAAAAAAAAAACGCACACGCCGTGGCATACATGTGTTTGCTGCATCAAAGTGCACGGTGCGCTAGCAAGGGAAAAACAGAACAAACAAAAATAGATGCGAAGCCAAATGGCGAAGCAAAAACATACATGCCTGCTCACAAAACCAAACAAAGTCGTAAACGTTTCACATGTTCTCCCACTTGGCTGTAACAAGGTGAGGTCGTCGCTGTCACCGTGTCCTCCCCGTTCCCGGTCGACTCAAAGGGCGCCACCGCTGCTGCCGCCGCTGCCATCGCCGCCGTCGCCGTTCCTCGCCGCCACGACCGTCATTAGTTCCAGCGCCAACAGGGCTGCCGGTGACGTCGCTGCTGCCGCCTCTACCACCGCCGCCGTTGTCGCTGCTGCCGCCGACGAGGCTCTGGCCGAAGCCACCGCTGCCGTCTGCTGCTGCCGTCGGAGCTCTGGCCGAAGCCACCACTTCCGTCGCTGCTCCTGCTGCCGCCGGTGTCGCCGACGGAGCTCTGGCCGTAACCGCCACTCCTGTCGCTGCTGCGGCTGCCGCCGTTGCCGCCGTTGCCGCCGCCGGAGCTGCCACTCCCGTTCCTGCCCCTATCGAAGGGGTACGCCACCCCTGGTACCGCCTCCCGTCTCCTCGCGCCACGCGAAGATGTCGTACCGGGGTCGAAGGGGTGCGTCGGGGCTCCACTTCAGGTTTCACCCAACCCCTCGTCCCCGCTCCCATCGCCGCCGCTGTCCTCGCTGCTGCAGCTGCTGCTACTGCTGCTGCTGATGCTGCTGTTACTCACGTCCCCCCCAGCACATTGGCTATCAAGCTCCTCGAGGACTGGCAATGGCATGGTTGTCGCACCAACCGCTTCCTCCAACTCTTCGTCACATACCTCCGTCACCGGTGCCGCCGCCGCCGCCCCTGCGGCCGTCTGGACACCCGACGCCGATGAGGCGACCGGGGACGCCGCTGCTGCTGTCGCCGTTGCCGTTACCCCCATCATCAATGTCGCTTCCGCCGCCGCTGCGGCCGTCTGGACACCCGACGCCGATGAGGCGACCGGGGACGCCGCTGCTGCTGTCGCCGTTGCCGTTACCCCCATCATCAATGTCGCTTCCGCCGCCGCTGCGGCCGTCTGGACACCCGACGCCGATGAGGCGACCGGGGACGCCGCTGCTGCTGTCGCCGTTGCCGTTACCCCCATCATCAATGTCGCTTCCGCCGCCGCTGCGGCCGTCTGGACACCCAACGCCAACGCGGCGACCGGGGACGCCGCCGCTGCTGCTGCTGCTGCTGCGGTTCCCCCCGTCACCGATGCCGCCACCGCCGATGCTGCTGTCGGGGACGGTGCTCTGGCCGAAGCCGTCCGCACCACCTCCGCTCCCGCCGATGCTGCTGTCGGTGACGGCGCTCTGGCCGAACCCGTCCGTGCCGCCGCCGCTCCTGCCGATGCTGCCGCCGCCGCCGCCGCCGCTGCGGCCGTCTGTATACCCATTGCCAACGCGGTGACCGGGGACGCCGCTGCTACTACTGCCTCTTCCGACGAATGCTTGGGTTGTTGTGATTCCGCGGACGGCGAAACTACAACAACGTGATCCGATCCAAGCATGTGTTCCTCCGCTACACGTCTACTGCTGTATCCGCCCTCCACGAGATTCAGCTCATCGCGTTGCCGCACTACTGCAGGTGCTACACGTGATGTCGCGGGCCGCTGGGGAGAGCGAGTGGCGGAGTGTGTGTTTACGTTGAGAGAAGCTACGTTGGCGGGGGCACTTACGGGCAAATATGCCGCAGACGAACCGGCAGCAGCCCCCCCACCCCTTCTCACCAACGAACACCTCACCACGCACCTGTCCACCTGCACCCCCGGTGAAGCCGTCCGCTAGATGTTGTTGCGGCGGCTGTTGCTGAGAGTCACCGCCGTACACCACGCCTGGCTGCTGCTGCTGCTGCTGCCGATACACAGACCCGCCGCCAAACTGGCCATCCCTCCGCTACTGCTGAACCGGTCCGCGGGCGAAAGCTGGAGCTGTACCAGGAGCGCCGTTGCAGGACCGTAGGGGTTACTGCTGTTGACGAGGCTGCTGCTGTGGCATGGGCTGCTGCTGTTCCGATGGCTGTGGCACGAACCTCTGCTGCACGCACGGTTGTTGCCGCTGCTGCTGAAAAGAACACCCTCTGCCAAACACGCCGTACCTCCACTGCTGCTGGAACGGTTGCTGTACGGCAACACCTCCGCAGGACTGCTGTAGACCATGCTGCTGTTGACGAGGCTGCTGCTGTGGCATGGGCTGCTGCTGTTCCGATGGCTGTGGCACGAACCTCTGCTGCACGCACGGTTGTTGCCGCTGCTGCTGAAAAGAACACCCTCTGCCAAACACGCCGTACCTCCACTGCTGCTGGAACGGTTGCTGTACGGCAACACCTCCGCAGGACTGCTGTAGACCATGCTGCTGTTGACGAGGAAAACCTCCCCAACAGTCCCGCCGAAAATTTCCACCGCCGACATGAAGAGCGTGGGGGTCACCGGTCGGCGCTACCGTCCGCCGCGCAACATTCTTGAGGTCCTTCTCGGCGCGCAGGCTACGCACAAGATTCTCCAAATCCTTGCGCGTGAGCGATCTGTTGGTCATGAAGAGAATGTAGACCTGTTCGTAGTCGGCGGAGAGGTTCCTTCGAAGCATCGCGAGGACTTCTCTATCCGTGATCGCATCGCCGTTNACCGTCCGCCGCGTAACATTCCCGAGGTATCTCTCGGCGTGCAGACTACGCACAGGATTCTCCAAGTCCTTGCGTGTGAGCGAGCTGTTGGCCATGAAGAGAATGTGGACCTGTTTGTTGTCGGCGGAGAGGTTCATTCGAAGCATCGCGAGGGCTTTTCTATCCGTTATCGCATCGCCGTTGACGGCGCGGAGAGTAGACAACACTCCGTCGAACCTAAGAAAGTACTCCTTTGGGTCCTCTCCAAGCTGCATCTTCATGTTCGTGAGAGACAGCTTCAGTGCCTCCTGCTCGAATTCACTCATCGGCAGGCAGTACTGTTGTGCAGCGTCCCACGCCCAGACACAGTCCCAACGGCAAGGATTTTAGCCTGAAAGTTTGCCCCCTTCGTGGCGCGCATCAAGTACTCAAACGCATACTCATGATCGCGCACGCGACGCTCACCGTGCAAGCGGACGTTCTCGCTCCTTGGCAGCCCGTTGAGGAGCCAGATGCTTTGGTGTGGACTCGCCGGCTTGGCGAGTGTAGGTGATAGATCTTCGCGGGCGAGGAAGAGCTCGAACAGCGACTTGAACAGTGGAAAGTTGCCGTCGTACACCGGTGGCTTCCGGTCCTTCCGCACGTAATCGCGGTCATGCTGCTGCTGCTCCCGATCATCGAAAAAACTAGCCGTCCCCCCGGCTCCACAAGTAGCCACCCCTCCGGCAGCTCCATCCCTGCTATGGTACCCAGGCGCATAGCCAGCGCCGCTTATCCTAATGTTACCTGCCGCATACCCGGCATCACCCACCCTATCTCTAGTAGCGTCCTCCGCTGAACTCCTCTCCTCTGCCTCCTCAACTCTCCTCTGCAGATCCGCCATCTTGGCTGCCGCGGCTGCCGCTTCCCCCGCTACACGCTCGGCCGCACTTTCGGCTTCCTGCTTCCTCTTCTCCATTTCTTCTTCTAATCCTTTCTCTCGCACTTTCGTCATTCCTGAACCAACACCTGGCCTAGCTAGGCTCCACTCGATATCGTGTTAGTGTGCACTGCCGCCCTCAGCGGTCTGTGGTGTTGAGACTGGTTGCTATGTTATCCCAGGAGCAGCAGATGGAAAAAGGACCATGTATTATACATATCCGTCACGCAAGCCCCTCAGGCAAGTGCAGGGAGCACACCGCCGTGTGCTCACCCGGAGGCCCCGCACTTGGACCTCAAACGCATACATACCCATCACACGCATAGTTCCCATACGCGTATCCCCCACAGAGGATGCACAGATCGGACTCATATCCAAAAACCATAAACATGCTACCCGCTGTTTCCTCGACAGGCAAGAGCGAAACAGGCCAACGCGCGCACATGAACATACCCAGGCAACGGGTCATGGCAGCATCGTTCCAAGCGCAGCATGGGACAATGGCACCCAGGGGCCTTCCAGAGCTCTTCGTGGATAAGAGTTAGGCGTTCAAGCCGCTTAGGCACGTCGGCGGCATTGTTATTGGCGAAAATAGCAGCTACAGTTGAAAACGGTGAAGGGTGGGGCTCGCACCAGCAGCGCATTTGTTTTTAGGTGTGTTGTAAATTGGATGATGTTGGTTTTCACGTTGTCGGTGGTTGGAAACTTGTCTCGGGCACGACTGCTCTTTATTGCACGCGGTCGACGTCGGTAGAGCGTGTTGTTGGGTGTCCACACGCCAATTTTCGCATGGTCGTTTCGCGATTCCGCCTGGTTGGTGTCCAAGGAATAGCGAGTCCATTGTGTGGTTGGCTGTATCGAAGGCAGTCGAAGCACGTTCAGATACGGTAGCTGTTCCGGGCAATGGTATATTACCGCAAGGCATGTTGGAAATGCACACCACTGCCCAGAACCAAAAGAAAATAGATCCACAACGTCAACCACCAGTTCTTTTACCGTTTACCGTAATTACATGTAGTCGCCTTAGAATAGACATCATGGATATTGGCGGGTGTTCTCTACACAAGTTTACGGGGCGGAGACATGGAACGTGGCGAATCTTACACATCGTGAGTTTAGCTTGCCGATCAGACTCACACATCGACGATCCAGATGTCGCCAACAGCATCGAACGTGGGACGCCATACTCTTTTTGGCCATTATTGAGCCCGCAGGCAAGTACGGTGTATAGGATGTGCCGTTGTTGCTGGGAGATGTCACTATTGGAAAAAAGGGGCTAGGCGAACGCCGCTGCATGCGCTTGTTTCGCAATATGCTCTTCGCGGGACGCAGAAGTGCATCGTTTTGACACAAGCTGGCACACCAAACGCACGTACGTCCCCAAATGAAGATCACAGCTTGTTCTGACGCAGAATCTGTTGGGATTTGTATGCAAGAACTGACTCTATTCTACTGCATGGGTTTTGTGCAGTATTGTGAAGGCGTGTCTCCAAGTCTGTAACCGTCAGGTGAAGACAGCTTGGGCGCCTGTGTTTTGGATCTAATGATCACTCTGTGTTGTATCTACCCAAACTGCGCCACCACTGCCAACTACACAACAAACAGCAACTACAATTCTGTTGTCAG